GAAGAACTTGGAGTACCTACTTTATTACATATGGTATATGGCTATTGGACTTTGTTCCCTTCTTTTTTTTATTTGCTAATGTATATATATAATATATATATATATATATATTATATATATTTTTAATATAGGATGTGTGTGAAGTTAGCCCCCCCAGTGTATAAGACCTTTTCAAAAATGGTTGTAACCTTGTCTTTTCAATTTGTAACCATTTGTAACCAACTTTTTAGAATTTGTAACTTAATATTTTTCAAGCAACGAATAATTTCTCATTGAGAACCACCATAATATTTACATTCAGTACCAATTGTTTTTACAGTGTTTGAGCATGTCTGCTCGAATGAAACGTATCTCTTCAATAAAATCTAATCCAAGTACGTGCAAATATACATTATAATTATTATTACATTTTATCATTTAAATTAATTGTATCACATAGTAATTACTATGGCCCATGTATACACTTCAATAAACTTTACCATCAGTTTCTGAAAGATTGTCAATTTGCATAAGTTTCACATAATAATATTTTAAATCTTCATTTGTATTTGCCAATCTAGGATACCTTTGTTTTTGTGACGATATAGTCTTGCAGTCTTTATTGCAAAAGTCAACATATATTATTTTTTTTTTTTGAAAAAATTTAAAGCTTTTTAAAATTCTGCATAGCTTTTGAATGTATCGCCTATTTGCATCTTAATATGGTTATTATAATTTAAACACTAATTTACACGATTGTTCACCTTTTACTCTATTAAATCCAAATATGTAAAAAAAAACCATTAACACTACCTTTTGATGAATATAATAACAGTTTTTCACCTTTTACTGTTAAATACAAAAATACAACAACGACAAAAATACCAGCCATAAAAATAAAGAAAATTTGATATCATCAAATGTTATCAGAATCAGTTTACATTCTCCACAATATAAATAGACTATTATAGACTGTAGAGTATAAATTTCATCATACTCTGTATGTATGAAGAGTATGTATTTCATTATATTTCTAACATAATATTATAATTTATAAAAATACTTAGAAATTTTATTTTGGTAAGAATTAAAATACACATTAACATAACATTTGAATTCATATTCAAATTAATATATAAAAATTAATAATTTAAATTTACGTGGTATTCGATATCAATTAAATTTATTTAAATCTGATAACTGATAACAGTGATAACGTCGCGCAGAAATTATTAAATTCTGTGCAGAAATGCGCATGCGCATATCATGTCCGGGGATATAATTTTTACGCATTAGATACCAGTGCTACCAGATTGGGCGGTTTATCGCCAATTGGGCTATCTTTAGTGACCAAACACTGCCAAAAATAATAGATTGGTGGGTTACCGCCAATTGGGCGATTTGACAATTCCAAATTGGCGTGTTTGGGCTTTTAGATTTAAACAATTGTACAATGAATAATTTTGACTTTTGTTAATTTTTTTTTTTTTTATCATTAACAAAAGTCAAAAATATTGTATTTAAACCACGATTATCATTCTGAAACCGTGTCTAAAACCAAGGTTTATAGATAATATTAACAGTCTAAGCAGCTGGTGTCTAGAACATCAGGAGCTGCGGCTGCTATCATGGACTTGTGATACCATTGATAATAAATTTTAATTGACAACTGACAAGTCACAAGTGATATCAAACATAAAACATTTTAAAAATTTTGTACCTATTGTCCTGTTATTATATTATATCAAATAATAAACTCTCAAGTCTCAACAATTATCTTGCGATTCGCACTTTGCACTCTGCAGTTGATTAATAATTAATTTTCATCTGATCATATTTTAAATCATGCCTAAGTGGGCAAAGTACACCAGAAAGTTTGTCAAAGAGTGGGAAAATAAAGCAGAATTTAAAGGTACCTATAACTTAAGTAAAGTGTAGTATAGATTTTAATAACTAATAACTTAAATATTAATTAATTTAATTTAGGATGGCTCAAGAAGGCGACAGATGAACAATCAGCGAACAATGATTTTAAAGAAGGGTATTGTTCTGTTTGTAATACAGTGTTGAGAGCACACCATGGTGATTTAATTAGCCATAGTAAGACTTCAAAACATGTTTTTAAAATGAAATCTTTAGTTGTTAAAACACAACCAAAATTAATTACTTATGGTAAGAATTTTGTTTTTATATTTATTGCATGAATATTATGTAGGTACATATTTATTATAGGAGTAAGTAATGTCTCCAGAGAAAATAAACATATAGATATAATGCTTGCTATTCACATTGCTACTCATTCATCAATTCGTAGTATTGATCATCTTGGTGAGATGTTGAAAGTATTTGGGAAAGGCTCGAAACTAGAAAATTTGAAAATGCATAGAACTAAATGTTCTAAGCTAATATTAAATGTATTATCGCCAGCTATAATTGAAGATCTAATAACAGACATTGGGGAAATTGGATACTCCTTGATAGTAGATGAATCAACTGATGTTTCTGTTATGAAGTACATGGCATATTGTATTAGGTATTTTAGTAAATCAACAAACCAAATACAAAATGAGTTTTTGGGCTTGGTTGTAGTTGAAYGTGCTACTGCTGTAGCGTTATATGATGGAAYWATTGAATTTTTGAAGCTCTTAAAGCTGAATCCCCTAAATTTAATTGGGTTAGGTGTTGATGGCGCTAGTAATCTRTGTGGTATKAATCATTCTCTATTTACACTTCTACGAGAAAAATCACCAAAACTTCAATTAATTAAATGTGTTTGTCATTCACTTAATACTTGTTCATCTAAGGCATCTGAAGGTCTACCTAGTCACATTGAATTTATGCTAAGAGAATCTGTTTCTTGGTTTTCGCACAGCCCTCTTCGTCAAATAGAATACAGTAGACTTTATGCGACAATAAACGGTGCAGAATGTAAACAAAGGCGTTTGGTCAAACTTTGTGCTACTCGATGGTTGGCTTTTTATAATTGTATAAAAGTTGTTCTTGACCAATGGCTTGAACTGAAAACCTGTTTTCAAATGGCAGCACAAAAAGAAAAATGTTATAGTGCACGAACATTATATGAAATGTATAAAGATAACTCTAATTTAGTATATTTTAACTTTCTGAAACCGATTTTAAAAGAAATTACTGATGTCAATTTGCAATTTCAAAGCAATAATACAGATATTACAAAAGTATACAGTGATTTAAAATTTCTTTTGATGTCAGTAGCTAAAAGAATCATAAAGCCAGTTTTTCTTCGTGATGAGATGTGTTCAGGTGCTTTAATTATCGAAGAAATTGAAAGGATATCAAAAGCACTGAAAAACCATCTTGCACGTTTACCTTTAGATGCTGTAGATTTTGGCTTTGCATTTAATGAGCTTGCTAACAAAAACATTGTTCCACCGGACTCTTTAAAAGCAGTACAAAATCGTCGTTTTGAATTTTTGTTACGGCTTTGCGAAGAGCTTCTAAAACGACTACCACATAACATTAAGACTATTCAAAAACTTCGGTTTTTTGATCCAAAAATGGTTCTATCGCTTATTCCACCTAAATTTAGATTATAAGTAATAAAAATCAATATAATTATTTATATTAAATAACTATAATTATATGATATTTTGTAGGATGCAGTACAGATTTAGAGGTTTTAGAAATACAGTGGAGAAATTTAACATCTTTAAATTACGCTGTTATTTGTGAGTCGTCTACTTCAATTGACGAAAAAAGCACCCAAGAGTTTTGGATAGAGGTTTTAAATATAAGAGAAAGGATATATTCTTATCAACTACTGATTAAAATTTATTATAAAGAAATTTGATTTTTTTTTACTATTTTCACAATCCTTATGTTGAAACTATAGTTTAAAAATCCCTAAAAAATGGATCAACTAAGCGATATAAAAAGAAAAGTAATCTTAAATGAATATTTTCTGAAGCAAAATAATTCAATTAATTATGTTGTACCAGTGTTTGCTTTACAAAATGAAAGAAATGGTAAATTATTTTTAAATAACAAACAGTATTAAGAAATTCTTATTCTTTTATTAGATTTCCTCCTAAGAGCACTCTTGAAATCCAAACTCTCACTGTCCAATAAACTTACCATGTACAAGTCAATAATTCGACTAATTTGGATATGCGGTATTCAGTTATGGTCGTTATGGGGTTCTGCAAAACGCTTAAAGCGTTTCAATCCATCTACTTATGACTAGTAACAACTAACAGCTTCTTGGTAATTTCCAAACAATTATCAATTAGAAAAATAATTACATGACTTTAAATTTCATACTTAATTGAACTCCCACAGTAACCCATTAATCAAACAAGTAACAACTATCCTCCATCTCACTTCATTGTAATGTACGTAGAAGACTCAAAAAACTGCTGAGTACCTGCTCATAAACTTGATCCCCTGACAGGCTCGTAGCCAGGAATTTCAAAAAGGGGTATTATTAAAAATTAATTGACAAAATTATACTCATAAAATTAATAACTTTATGTATACTTTGTACAATTGTATGTTCATACAAACACAAGTGAATAGTGAATAGATAATGATTTATGAGAAAATGTTTAAATATTTTATTAATAAGCAAAATATATGAATATATGATGATTCTTTACTGTTACCTTTAAGACATAAGTATAGACAGTATAGTTTGATATTTGTTTTAGTATTAGTATATGTTGGGGTAGGGAGGTACTACACCTATTTATCTATTCAAATTTACCCATTATACTAATTATATTGTATAGATTGTAAATAAAATGTATTGGATTTAAGTTCTTATTTCTCATTTCTTATTAGGACAAATAAGTGAAATGATTTGTAATTGGAATAACAATTTAATTTAAAGTATTTCAGATCTCGTAATAAAATGGCCATGCGATAATGAACAACGTTTGACATTAAAAAAATTCCAGAATCTACAGAATAAAGTATTACCTGGGGTGTTTGGAGCTATAGATGGATGTCATATTAAAATATTAGCACCATGGGTAAAAAGAACGGTTATGCCTCCACTTAATAAGTCTATGTTTTATAATAGGAAACAAGTACCAACTGTAATTTTACAAGTACATATAAATAATTATTCTTATTATGTTTAATATTTATTTATTTTTCAATTTTATTTTATTTTTTGACTCAATTATAAATATTAATATGATTTATTAGATTTGTTCAAATTATTTTATAGGGTATAGTTGACGCTGAACAGAAATTCATCAACATTTTTTGTGGATTGCCTGGTTCATTACACGATGCACGAGTTTTAAGGCGGAGTGTTATAGGAAACCGACTATTAAATAACCCCTGGGAAATACTAACCCGAGAATCATTTATCTTAGGAGACAGTGCTTATCCATTAACCGAAGCGATTATGACACCTTATAAAAATAATGGTTACTTAACTCCGGCACAAATATTTTTCAACCAAACTCTCAGTAGTTCTAGAGTAGTTGTTGAACAAAGCTTTGGTAAACTAATTGGCAGGTTTCGAAAATTAAGGTATATATTTTTTTGACTTGGAATTTATCATCTCATTCTTACAARCTTTAATATCAGATTATTAGATGTATACCATAAAAGTTATTGTGGTTTGATAATAACAGCTGCCTGTGTTCTTCACAATATCTGCATGTCTCAGGGTGATGACATTGAAGTTGAAGAATATGAACAGTATATTCCACCTGCAGTACCTGATACAGGAAATGGAATAAATAAACGAGATGAATTATGTGCATTAAATTATGAACACTAACAAACAAAAGTTAAAATTAATCAACAAAGGTATATTATGTAAACAATATTTTAAAGAACATTTTTTAAATATCACATHTATTTCATTTCAGACTAGAACTTTTTAGTCTTTCAAATTTCAAMATAACTTTGTGTAAGCAACTAATAATTAAAATTATAAAATAAATAAAAGAACTTATCTCTACATACATTGAACTGTAAAATATTTGTAACATATTATACCTTTGTTGATTTAAAAAACTAATAGTACTTAAAATCATTTAACAATTAATACATAGTAAGATCACTTTTTAAATTATTATTAGGAACTATTTTGATTTATTTATCTGTTTTAAACATTTCCTTAAATAAATCTAATTTTTGTTGTTCAATAGCATTTGAATTTTCTAAGGATTTCAATAGCTTGGCCTTCATGTCCCTATCTTCATCAATCCTTTCTCCTATCTCTAACATTCTGAAACATTTATATAACCAACACTATGTAATATATATATAAAAAATAAAATTATGTGTGTGCACCGCTAAAATTCAAATGTAAATAAAAAATAAGTATGGCAATGCTAACTCATAAAACCACATATTTAATTTAAAACTGTGAAAAAGTTTTTTGATAAAGTTACCTTATTTCCATTTTTTCCCCATGAGATATTAGAAACTCAAATTGCTTTTCCTTAGCATCCATCATTTCTTTAACCCAACTTGGTTTAGTAGTTTTCAATAAAGGATGTATTTTTTGTATAGTCTGTGTTGGAGAAGTAAGARTTTGAGACTCTGTGCTTATGTTATTATTATTATTAACCTGTTGAATAGGTTTTGCTATAAGTGTTTCATATATCATATCTGCAAATAATAGATATATTTGTAATAACTTTAAAAAAAAAACCATAGTTTCAAGTGAAATAGTAATATCCAAATAGCATACAATTGTATAGGCTGTATAGCCCAATAACATTCACTTCATCTGTATTTGTTATTACTAGGGATCAGATTTTTAGGCAAATGCATTATTTTTTATATATAAGAGCCCGGTGCTCTAGACAMAGCGTAATAAAAAACTACTATACTGAATCATTGTAGGGGAATACTTCAAATAATACTCTAAATAATTCAGCAAATGAATTAAAAGTATTATTTTATTCAGCAATTAATATGCATCTATTATAAATTATTAGATATACTATTTATTTTTCTTCTAAAAAACAYTTGCTTAATAGACAAAGCATTAGTTTTAAACAAAATTTGTTTTGTTATTATTTTAACAAGCTTGTATAACACATATTATTTTAACTAAATAACACATGGCTGATAAAAATTTAGCCCCATCCTAAGAAAAACTGAAATGACTCCCCTGCACATAGCCCCATAGGTATTGGAAAATAGGGAGAGTAAAAAAAGTATCTATGAGTTCATAAAAATAATAATCTGGCCCTAATTACATGAAATACCAAYTACCTTTTGGAGGAGATKCAGTATCCTTGGTATGTATAATATTTTCCATATCTTTGAACCACTTCCATTTTACAGGCCCTCTTCCAGTTTGTTTGGACTGATCATGCAGTTTAGTGTAATTCGTTTTCATTCTTCTAAACTTCTCATCACAAATTTTTCCATCAACACTAATTCCTTTTTTATGCATGTCTGCAGCAATCTGTTTCCAAACAATATTTTTTTTCCCTTGACCTCCTTTTTTAAATTTATGGTCATAAGCCATTCTTAAATTTAAAAGCAGACTTATTGATTTATCATTCCAGGGTGAACCTATATATAATATAGTATTTAGTTAACAGATACTACATTATGTRTTTTATTATTTGTCCTACTTACTTTCTTTAATAGAACTATTTGGGTTGTCAATGTCAGTATAACTATTTAAGTTGTCAAAGCCAATAGGTTCATCACCAAAAACGGAAACATCAGTATCTTYTTCAACTATGTACTCTATAATTATGAGAAAAAATTAATCAAATATTGTMTTAAAATGTATTATAACGTTGCTAGCGATGGGTTGTGCAGTGTTTGCCTTRTCCTCATTGTTTGTCTCTAGGGGATCCAAAATGTATAAAATATTGTCATGCAGTAATTAGGTACTGACTGGCTTTTGTACATGAGTAATTAATTAATATTTGTACCAAACAATTATATTTATATATATAAGCATATGAATTTCCAAATTTATTATAACTATTATTAAAATATTGTATATTTTTATCATATTATATTATTGACTTTTGAGATTA